TAGTTGCAGTGAGTTGTTATAGAAGGCAATGAATTCTACATACAATGGTGCTTGTTTCTGTTTCTCTTGATGACAGGAAATTTTTGAAACACCAGCTGAGAGGCAAGAACTGTGAACTCCTGCTGGTGGTGCCAGAGGAGGTGGAAGCACATCAGACCTGGAGAGCTGATGTGTGATCTGGACTGACTCTATCCTCCCACTACAGCTCCTCCCCTTGCTGAACTCCTGACATCCTCAAAATCTGGATCATGGGTGCCCTGACTCCTCTCATCTGGAATTTTCTTTAAGATCCTCTCTTCCTTCCTTGGTGCAATAGGGCAATGGCACTGGACACTGGGGGTGCTGGGTGCGGGAGAACTGAGGGCAGAGTGGAGGAAACTGGAAGTCAGTCTCTTCAATTGCAAAGGCAGGTGAGCTGCTATAGCAGGCACTGCGCTCGTTCCTGAAAACTGGGCTTCAGGGCTCTGGGAGCCTTTGGACACCCTTTCCCCACACAGTTTGAGGCCATGTGTGGTGGGACTTGCTGGGGAGGAGCATGGACTGAACACACCTGCACCTCTTCGCAAGCCTCTCCCTCCAAAACAAGTTGTCATGAAGACCGTTGCAATTCCTACAGGTCTCTCAGGACATGCTCAAACACTAGGAATGGTACGGTGCTCGGCACCACCCTCTGCTTCCGAGGGGTCGTTTGTGCCAGGAATTAGGAAACAATAATAAAAACAGCATCATATTTCAATGAACTCTTTGGGGAGCTGGAGGATCCTTCCCCAGTGTCTCCAGGGATTGACATTTGTGGCGAGAAGCTGTTCCACAGCATGTGGCTGCTGGCGAAGGTGACATGGAAACAGCAAGTGCAGGGTCATTGAGGAGCATCGTCTTTTTTGATTGCAGAGATGCCATAGTCTGCTTGGGGTTTCTTTGTGCTATGGTGAGTGGTTTGGGTTTTGTTTTTACTCTTTTTTTTTTAACATCTTTTCTGCATGGTCACCCAGTAGTTTAGGGGCTGCTTGGAGAGAGGAAGAAAACTGAAAAGGTTTTGAGAGGAACTGATTCCCTTTTATTTTCCTCTTTGCAGAAGTCTAACCCACAGTCATGGAGATGTTCTGAGAATGTCCTAGAAAGAGGTAAAGTTAAAGAAAAAGCTCACCTGAGGAGGTGAGCCTTCATAGCAGCCAGGTTGTGCCCCTGTTATAGTTCCTAGCCAATAATGGGGGGGATGCAGAGGGCCCACCAGAACCTGTGGGCAGATGAGAGACCCTGACCCAATGTTGAACCAACCTCTCCTTCAGTGTCGGCCAACAAACATTCCGTTAACAGACAAACAGCTTTTTCCTTCCCTCCTTTCCACGGGGAATAGTGACCAGGCATGGAGACAGCAAGAAGAATCCCTGCAGGCTGTTTCCCAGCATTCTGGGTGAGCTGCAGCTCAGTCATGCCTTCCACAGCAGGAGGAGGAACCAAATTTGGAACAGACTCTGTTGCATTCAGTGCTTCCTGGTTCAGCTGTTGTTCGCTCCCCTCCTTGACACATGGGATTAACAGCAAATGCTGGGACACAACACAGCTCCAAGGAAGCCATTCCATCCTGCAGGAAAGTCTCATTTCTCTTGTTGGAGTTTGCAGGAGGGGTTGTAACTACCTTGTCTAAGTTCTTTTTCTCTCAAGAGCTCTGCAACCTCACAAGCAGGTGCTCAAAGCTGAGAGACCACCAAAACCTGCACCTTCCTAATGGAGAACAGAGGCCACATAGTGAGGGGATGCCACTGTTCGGGACATCTGGAAGCAGTGTACTGCAGTCACAGCCTCCACAGCTGAGAGCAAAACAGCTCTCGTGCGTTTTAAAGACCCGACATTTCTATGAGAAGTCCTATTTCGTAACACATTCCAATGACCAATACCAGCTGGCAGAGGTTTTTAAACACTTTCCTACTGGCAGGATGTGCAGCCTGCGGCATTCTGCTCATGACTTGAAGCCATTTCTTCAAGAGGGGGGAAAACATAAACTAAATAAACCTAGGCAGCAATGTTTTCTATGCTAGTCGCACTTTGGAGAAACCCCATTTGCATGGAAGCTGCGAGCCAATGGCTCAGTGCACAATATGCAAAGACGTTTTCAACTACTTTGGGGCTAATTTCCTTTCCTTGTTTAGTCCCTTCCTTTCCCATGAAGGGGAATCAGTTAGATCCAGCTGCTCAGGTAAAGGGAAAGAGGGATCACACACCCCACAGGGGGGGAGGGAGATGTGCAGGCCCGAGGGGATGGGTGAGGCAGCCCAGTGCCCACCTGGGATTGGGGAAGCCCCGGGTTATTTTCTTGCTTGTTTGGTTTCATTAGAGCCTCTTGTCTTGGGTTTGTTTACAGAGATGTATTTTGTTTAACCAAATATTAAAAATGGGAAAAAAAATCCATATAAATGTCCTATCACTTCTGTATGTTCAATTGAATTGTTCTGTAAAGGATGTAAAGGCAAAATAAATTTTTTTGTTCTTTGGTTACAAAACTGCTACCTTTCTACACGAACCTTTCTGTGAGTAGAATTATAGCATGGTTTGAGTTGGAAAGGACCTTAAAATCATCCAGTTCCAACCCCCCTGCCATGGGCAGGGACCCCTCACACTAGACCATGTCACCCAAGGCTCTGTCCAGCCTGACCTTGAACACTGCCAGGGATGGAGCATTTAACACTTCTTTATGCAGCCTGTTCCAGTGCCTCACCACCCTCACAGTAAAGAATTTCCTTATATCTAACCTGAACTTCCCCTGTTTAAGTTTAAACCCATTAACCGTTGTCCTATCGCTGCCCTCTGAGAACTCCCTTAAGCGGCGCAAAACTTGTTGCTCCATCATCTTCAGGTGCCAATGAAGCGTCCATCCCTTCCCATAGCTCCAGAAGAACTGAACCTCCCTAAAGGATGTTTATTAAAACCACACTGCTCAGGTTGGATTTATTTAATATTCAATACAAAAAAATACGCAGCTGATTGCTGAAGTTCTACTTGATGAGACAGAGGATCAGCGTGATCGGCTTGAACCTGCTGCTCCCTCGGTTCTCACATACATACACATATGAAGCCGCCATGACAGTATTTATGCAGATGCATCTTCCTGGAGAGAGTTTTCCATAGGGTGCAGCCACCTGCACCCCACCTTCCTTTGCTTTGTCTGCTGGGGAAGTTATTTCTCTTCCTCCTCCTCCCACCAGTGTCCTTCAACTCCATGTCAGCCAGCAAAGGATTCAGGACTCATTTTGCTTGACTTCCAAAGCCCAGCCTGAGCCCCGGGGTCATTTTATGGGAGTATGAGGGGCCTGGAAGAGGAACTGAATTCCCCCAGTTCAAGTCTGACTGGTTATGGTGCATTGATTTAATGAAAGGAAAAACTCACGATTTCTGTACAAGGGGAGGATGCAGCCAGGAGCTGTCAGCAGGTCCAGAGGGGGACGGGCTTCTCCCCCTCTTTATGAACAGGTCAATGTCCCAAAGGAGAACCAAAAATAAAAACAAAAGGGAAAAACAAAAAAATGCCCTGACCCAACAACTCAACAGTTCAATAGATCATAATCTCAAGGTCTTCCCACATGATACAAATCCAACGCAGCTTCCACAAATTAGATCTTCCCAGACAATGGTGGCAGGGCCCCTGGCATCCCCCCTGAGAGCCCCGTGTTGGGTCCCAGGAGGATCTGGAAGGAAAAGGGTCAGTTGAGGGGCTGCAAGGACACAGGACAGGGTCTGTGTGCTGCCTTCTCTTCCACAGCCTCCCAGCCAGGCATGAGGCTGTGGCACCAGTTCTTCCCCTGCCATGAGAGCCCAGCGCAAAGCTCAGCCAGACTGAATGCGAGTGGGTTGGATCTGGACGTTGCTGCCTTCAGCCCATGTGCAGCCCTCACTGCCTATTTTGGCCTGGTGAAAGCTAGGCTGTGTTTGCTGGAGTTTGCCATCAACTTGTTACTAGGAATCGGCCGGATCATCCCATTGGAAGCATCCAACCAAGGCACCCAGTGGGATGAACACCGTATCACAAACCGCTCCCTAAGCTCCTTCAACAGGAGGTACCTGGGAGGAGGTGCAATGCCCTGAGCCAAACCTGCAGGGCCAGGGTAGAGGGCTGGGGTGCTCCCGCCTCACCTGTCGCTGCTGCAGCTGCTGCTGCTGCTCCATCTGCAGCTTTTCAGTTTCAAACACGACAGGAAGAACCAGAATCATGAAGGAGGTGGTCCCAATCCACAGAGCTGCCCTGGAGAATCTGCGGAAGAGAAAGCACATTAGCAATAAGAACCGGTTCTTTCCCTGCTTCCCACAGGCCCCAGGCTTCCCACTTGTGCCTCCCTTTCCCCCTTCTGCCTCCCTTTCCCGCTTCTGTGCCTCACACAAAAGCCACCCCCTGGTTCTGACCCGAGGTGCCCCCTTTCCCCCACCTGGCTTTGCCCAATGCCGCCTAGAAACAACGGCCTTGGCCCCGCCGCTCCCCGCACCGCAGGACCCGCTCTCTCACCTGTACATCTTCTGCGCTACCGACAGCGACAGGTCGAAGGTGGCTCCTGCCGCCGAGCGGACGCACTCGGGGAACATCTCCGTGAGCCCCCACAGCCGCTCCGCCAGCGTCTCGTCCAGCTGCGGGCGGCAACAACCGCGTCAGGCCCGACCCGGCCCTGCGCGACCGACGGGGTCACGGCTGCCCCGGCCCGCCCCGTCGCGCCGCCCGCTGCCCCGCTACCTCCTCGTCGTCGTCCTCCTCCTCCAGCTCGTCCTCCAGCTCTTCGGCCCTGCTCGAGCCGCCCTTGGGCAGCAGCTCCTCCGGGGACAGGGACGCCGCGGCAGCCATCACCACCAGGCACGGACGGAGGGGGCGGCGAGACAGCGGAAGCGGAAGGGCGGTTCTCCCGCCGCCCGGCCGTCGGGGGAGGCAGCGGCACCTGGCGGCCGGGAGGAGCCCACCCCTGTTCCCCCCCTCCCCGATTCTCCCCATCTCGTAGCTCATAGCAAACACCCGCAGACTGTGGGTTTCAATGTGTTTATGTAAACGATGCAAGAGCCTCAACAGTGAGCACCCTGCAGGGGCAGGTTTTGGGGAGGTCAGGGGATGTCCTGTGTTTTTTAAGGTACCCGGAGATGGTTCTTCTTGAGGAAACGTAGTGAGGTAAAGTGCTCTGAGAAAATCTCTGTTAGTTGACAGCATCGTGGTGTGACTTGTGGGGGTGCCACCCAGCCGTTACGTGGCACCCACAGCACCAGAGGCACCTCGTTACTTGAAGTCCCATGAATGAAGCACCTACACACACAGTACCAAGGTGCTGAGGAGGCACTGAGCTTCAGAGCTGGCCTCTTTGCTCCCCTGTCCTATGGCCATATCCTCTTCTTCACTTCCTCCTCTGGCTGTGGCTCTTTAGTTCCTCCAGCTCCTTCTCCATCAGGTGGGACTCGGCTGTGGTCTCAGAGAGCTGCAATGACAAGGGTGAGCTACTCCTCTGCCCCCCACCCTGTGCTACAGCCAGAAGCTTTTCCCCATTCCGTGGCACCACCTTCCCCCGAGACATCACCAAGATTTAACAGCCACGAGGCAGCACCTGAGCGAGGGAGTTTGCTCCCATTTGGGCAAGAGGGAAGTGAAAGGAAATTTCACACTTCATTGACATCGCTGGGGAAATCTGGAGAGCAGCCTGGGCTTCGGCTCAGCACCCCAGCCACAGAAGCTGCTTGCCAGTTTTAAAACACAGGAAGAGCGCAAGAGAGGAATGGGATAAGGAGGCATATGCTCAGAGTGACATAAAGGGTAAATCACTTAGTGGTCTAAGCACAGGCATTCCATTTCACCGACAGCATCTCCAGATTTTGAGCATTATCGCTGGGTAAGGTTGAATTTTGGTTTATTTAGGGCTTGCAGATTATTTCACCCCATGGTTTGCACACAGAAATGATGTCACACCACTTGTCACAGCAGCTGGAAGCTTTAACCTTAACCACCAGAGAAGGTGGCTATTGCTTTGTTTCACTGTTAGGGCACATGCAAGAGTAACAAGAAAAATGCCGTAACACTGTGCAGGAAGGGACAACGGAGCCATGGCACTTGTAGGGGCTCCTCTCATATCAGCCATGGTGCTCACAGCAGACGCCAGACTTTGATCCTGCCCTCACTTCACCATCACAGCTGTCCTGTGTAGTAGACAAAAGCCGGAAGAGAGGGGCACAGACCCCAGCACCCTCTGCTTGGGCACCTCTGCTGCAGCGGCAGCTGGGCGCATACTCACCATGTCCAGTAGAATGTCCACTTTCAGCCGAAGGAGGTTGTTTTCTTCCTCCAGCTGCTGGTTTCGCTTGCGCAAGCGCTGCATTTCTCTGCGATCCCCTGTGAAGCTTCCTGATTCTGGAAGGAAGGAAGGAGGTTAAAATGCAGATTAAAATCATAGAATCCCAGACTGGTTTGGGTTGGAAGGGACATTAAAGCTCACCCAGTTTCAAACCCCTGCCACAGGCAGGGACACCTTCCACTAGAGCAGGTTGCTCCAAGCCCCGTCCACCCTTGCCTTGAGCACTGCCAGGGATGGGGCAGCCACAGCTCCTCTGGGCAACCTGTGCCGGTGCCTCACCACCATCACAGGGAAGAATTTCTTCCTTATGTCTAATCTAAATTTACCCTCTTTCAGTTCAAATCCATTCCCCCTTGTCCTGTCACTACAGGCCCTTGTAAAAAGCCCCTCTCCAGATTTCTTGTAGGCCCCTTTTAGGTATTGGAAGGCTGTTATAAGATCTCCCTGTAGCCTTCTCTTCTCCAGGCTGAACAAGCCCAGCTCTCTCAGCTTGTCCTCACAGGAGATGTGCTCCAGCCCTCTGAGCATCAAAATGCAGGGTGTCAGCCAGCCATGGCTACTCCAGATCAGAACCAGCAGAGCTGCACTCTACCTGCCACCCACTGGCCATTCTCAAACTTGAGGCTCTGGCCAGCGAGGTTCATGGTGGGCATGCTGTATTCCAGCCCCAGCTCGATCTCACGGGTCGATCTGTCCAGCTGCAGGGAGAAGACCACACTCAGTATTTTATGGAACTCCAAAGCCCCCCCCCATTTCTCAGTGGCTGGCATTCCAACAGAACCTGATGGTGCTGAAGCATGAAATCCTACTTTGCTCACGTTCTGCCGCAGCACAGGACCAAGCCAGTCCTCTCACTGCACATCTGCACGTTCTCCCACTCAAACACACACACACCTCCCTGCGCTTAGAGACCACTGGTGAGAAGTTTTAGGTGAAACAGTTCTGCACTAGGATGACGATGATCTTTCCCTGCTCTATTCATAGAACCACAGAATGGTTTGGGTTGGAAGGGACCTTAAAACTCATCCAGTTCCAACCCCTGCCATGACAGGGACACTGTTCCATTTCTACCTTCACATACAGTCACCAGTGACCATAAGTGGTGCCAGGAAAGAGGCAGGGCCAGGAGCTCGTGTACGGGTTATGGTGGTGTATGGGCTATGGTGGCTGGGGGGCACTCACCAGATTCAGGTTGGAGAGAGAGGCAAACTTCCTTGGGGGGGTCTTCTTTGGGCTGAAGGTGTTCCCGAAGAGAGGCATCCCACTGCGGCTCCCCGAGCAGGATGGACGTCAACAGTGCTCTGAAGACGGAGGCTGTGAGCGTCGATGTGACGAGACGGCGGTGTTGGGGTTTCCTCTGGTGGCCCCTTTCCCAGCACTTCCAACAACGTTGCCTGGTGCCCACCTACAATCAGACCCCGCACCCGTGGTCCTCACGCTGTGCGCCAGCCCTCCGAGGGGGTTAAATGGGGGGGGGGGGGGGGGGGGAGACACGGACGACGGCGCAGAGCGTTGGGGATGGTCCCGCTCTGTTTCCCCCCCCCGGCATCTCACTGTTGAAACCAGCGGGCTGAGCGAGCGCAGATGAGGAACACCCCCATCACCCCAGCACCCTCCCGCCCCGCAGTGGTAGGGTCAGCCTCGCGGTGCAGGGCCGGCCGGGCCGGGCCGGGCTGTTCCGTCGACCTTCGCCCGAGGGAAGAGGGGGGGGGAAGAGGGAAAGCACCTCTCCGCCGCGTGCTCCCGGCGCCCCGCGTCCGCGCCGCCGCGCTCAGCCGCCGTTGCTGCCGCGTGCCTCGGGAGCGGTTTGCGGCCGTTACGTTGCCATGGCGACGGCGGGGCGCTCCGCCGCTCCTCCCCACGGTGCGGGGCGCGCAGGAGGAGGAAAATGGCGGCCGCGGGGGGTTCCTCCCTCCGGGCCCCGAGACCCGCCTCGGACCCGCCGGGTTGCTGCTGTGGAGATGGGGCCCTCAGTGCCATGAGTTAGTGGTGGACGTGGCAGCGCTGGGGTAATTGTTGGACTTGATGATCTTAAAGGTCTTTTCCAGCCTGGTTGATCCTATGATTCTGAATGACCAATATTTTTTTATGTTGCAGAGGCAAAATACCGCTTCTTTTCTAAATTTTAGAGTCATTCCCTGTTAGAATTCAGCGAACTCAAATGACTTGCTTCATTGTTAGGAAAGCTTCTGTTAAGAAGCTTAATTTTAATGACATATTAATGTGTTGACTTTAGTTAAAAGGGGACAATAAAGAAAAGGGTGGGGGGAAGGATGGGGGGAGAGTGAGAAGTGTCAGGAAAGAAAGGAGGAAAAAAGGGGAATCGCCACCTTTTTCATTTCCCTCACTCCACAAAAAAATTACTTAACAGTTTTTCATTCGCAGAAGGGTGCTTAACTGGCACCCTTCCTGAAGTGAGCCAGAGAACTGCTCACTTGGAATGAGAACTGGAAAGATACCAGAGTGCCAGCCTGGTGACTATTGACAAGAGAACAATCTGGTGCTGCATTATCTTCTGATAGTTCAGTTAAGCATTATCTTACTCCTGTAGGATGCATGCTACAAGAACAGTGGCCCTCTGACACCTAATCACTGGAAATTAGGTGGGTTTTTTCTTTTTCATAAGGGATTACAGGTCAGATGGGGAGAACCGACACCCTTAAAAGTAGCACAAAAACTTGCAGTTCTGATAAAGGGCTTCATGAAGCAGTTGTGCCTTCTGTCAGTATTTAACGTCCGTGTGTATGTCTGCGCATCTTTTGGGCCAGCACAAACCTCTTGGAGTTCAACCAGGCCAATTACAAGGTCCTGTACTTGCGTCAGGACAATCCCAAGCACAAAATACAGGCTGGGCAGAAAATGGAGTAAGAGCAGCTCTGAGGAGAAGGACTTGTGGGTGTTGGTTGACAAGAAGCTCAGTGTGACCTGGCAGTGTGTGTTTGCAGCCCCGAAAGCCAGCCATATGCTGGGCTACATCAAAAGGAGCTTGGCCAGCAGATTGAGGGAAGTGAACTTCCGCTCTACTCCCATGAGACTCCATCTGGAGAACTGCATCCAGCTCTGGGGCCACCAACACAAGAGGGACATGGACTCGCTTGAGTGAGTCCATAGAAGGCCAGGAAGATGCCCAGAGGAGTGGAGCACCTCTCCTGTGGAGACAGGCAGAGAGAGTTGGGCTTGTTCAGCTTGGAGAAGAGAAGGCTCCGGGGAGACCTCATAGTTGCATTCCAGCACCTAAAGGGGCCTACAGGAAATCTGGAGAGGGATGTTTTACAAGTGCCTGTACTGACAGGACAAGGGGATGGCTTTGAACTGAAAGAGGGGAGATTTAGAATAGATATAAGGAAGAAATTCTTCCCTGTGAGGGTGGTGAGGCACTGGCACAGGTTGCCCGGAGAAGCTGTGGCTGCCCCATCCCTGGCAGTGTTCAAGGCCAGGCTGGACGGGGCTTGGAGCAACCTGGTCTAGTGGAAGGTGTCCCTGCCCATGGCAGGGGGTTGGAACTGGGTGAGCTTTAGGATCCTTTCCAACCCAAACCATTTTGTGATTCCATGATTCTATGCAAAGGCAAAGGGCTGGAAGTGAAGTGAGGGCAAGAACCTTGGAAGAAAAGCTGGGAGAATGCAGAATTACAATTTTGAACTGAAAAAGCCTGTAGCTAAGTCAAAGACCATACTGCCCAATCAGGATAGTGAGGGACTGAACTCTTAACACTCGCATTTTCATTGTTGAATGCACTGGAAAATGTTGAGTTTCCAAACAAGTACTTGGACCTGCAGAGCTCCAGATGAGAAAAGCATCTCCCTGAGATGCTCAAAGACAAAGTCACATCCCATTCTTTTATGAACTTGGAGTTTGTTGCTGGGGGGGGGAACTAGATATTAAGAAGCACTGGTCAGGATGTGCTCCACCAGTAACACAGGGGTTGTAATGTTCACCTTTCTAGAAGAAACCCGTCTGTTTCGGCATAGTTGTATGCTTGAGTTCTCCTTGCTCCAAGTGGGATGAGTATTGTGGTAATGCGTTATAATTCTTGTAAAACTAACTGTCTGCTTTTCCCATGCTCTCACAGTGATTCTCTGACAGCCACTTTCTCCAAGGTAGAGGCTCAGAAAAAGCCAGGCAGCCTGTCCCCACCACCCTGGCATGTGAGGTGAATGCTAACTTCTGTCTGCCTGGTTGCTTGTGCATGGCTGCGTGTGAATAGTTTCAGAGGTGGTAGGGCTTGTGAATGAGTTCAGAAAGCTTCCCCCAAAGTTGTGAGAGCAAGAGGAAGACATTTCGGTGCTTGATTTCTGGTGTGATTTGCTTCAGGAATTTTCTTCTTTTGCATAGTTTTACTAAATTTCATTTCTTGCCAGACTCCATTTCCTCAAAAAAAGCTGTGGAATTTCCTTGCTGCACCCAACCTCCCAGGCTACTCTAGCAGCAGCTTCTCATCGTTATTTCTCCACTTAAATCAGGTAGATACTGAGACAAGAGCATCATTGTTTCTAGCTTTGCCTCTCAACATATTGCATTGTTCCCCTGCCAGCAGGTAGTTTGACATACGATTTTAAGAGATTGGCCTGGTTTTCGCTGTTCCTGTCACTTGGTGGGGAGGTGAACACCTAGCACACTCTCTCTCTCCCAGTGCAATAAACTAGAAACATCACTTAAGATCTGCTAAACCTTATTAAACAGTGAAGAACATTCCTATTGCAGTCATCGTGTAAGGAGGCCATGTAGCTTTTTATAACAAAGTCTTTGGGAGTGCTGGTGGAAGGCTGAGAGCATGACAGGATGAAGATAGGGCTGTAGCACATGACAATGTGGAAATTTTGGAATAGACCCAGGCTGGTTTTGGTAGCCTAATTTGGAGCTGCTTCTTCAGCTTTTTTGGTTCGCAAGCAATACAGAATCTATAGCTTAGATTGTGTCAGAGCTGCTTTTAACTCAGTAGTGTTTCTCTTGCCTTGTTTGGTTTTTTTTTCCAGACACAGTGCAGGATTATTATTTTTCCCTGTTACATCAATAATTATAGGGAAACCACACTGACTGTTGAATTCAATAGACTTACTCTAGGCTTACTCTGATGTCAAAGAGAATGTTTATTGTAATTATTGCCGCTTGAAAGTTGCTACATTGACTGGTGGGCTAAAGAAGCCTGAGTTAAAAACCTGTAAAATCAAATTTTTTTTGTATATTGAAATTAATTCCACGCCCAATTAATTTCTTCAGGAGTGAGAAAATTCCTGTTGCCTTAGTGCTCTGCAGTTAATTTCACCTCCTCTAGCGGCACAATACACAATTAATGATGCTCCTTCTTTTAGTATGCTAGATAGTAAATACCTCGCCTATATTTTATTGACAAAGCAGACACTTTTTTTCTCACTGTGTTTCTTTTTTTCATTACAGCCAACTCAAGAGATCAAAGAACAGCAGTTTCACCGCTTTGCGAAGAGTTACGCTCTCCTCCTGCTTGACTGTCGCGGATTCCACCACCAGGAGGCCCTCATTAAAGTGCTTGTAGCTAGGCGAAGAAAACACAAGGACGGAGAAACGAGATGGAGAAACCCATTCCCATAGAAGTAATCTGAAACGAATACTTATCCTATAAATAGAGATTTATTTTTTTCTAGCGTTGTGCAGGCATCAATTCTTGCAGGAATCCTAATATCCAAACCATCGATTGTACTGTAACTTTTTAGGATAAGGGGGTGTCACAGGTGGTATTCCTGCATTGTATCACCAAGTTATAGCCAGGGAAGTTCCTGCCTTTGTCTTCTGGATAGTAAAGCTTTTAATAATGTAATGAAAATAATAGGATAAAGCACGGTTTGGATTTCTAGTCACTCACGACTGCCCTCTATCTTTCACCTACTGAATATGCCCTCATCTGATTCATCTCTGCATTCTCTCTCCTAGCAATTTCCTTATTCCCAAGTTTTTAATTTCCTTTCACTTTTCACTGCAGATTTTTATTGTCTCCCTAAAATTCTAAATATCTGTACTGACAGTCTGATTGCTGTCTTTTGCTAACATCACCTGCTTTAAAGAAAGGGGGAAAGAGAAATGTTTCCATTCTTTTTATTGCCAAGTTGTCCACTTATTTCCTCAGTTACTGTCTCTTCAAAGCTGCAGTTATTGCTTTGTCTGAAATGTATTCAAAAGAGCAGTGTGTCTGTGATCTCTCAACTAAAAAGTATGAAGGTGTCATTTTTCTCTCCTTAAACCCTATTTTTTTCACTACTGAGTCAAGCCTCCTGTGTACACTTCTGGTTTCCAAGATCACATTTCAGTACTGATGAGTCCAAGACACAGCTTTGCAATGTAATTTCAGAATGGATGATAGGTGAGAGTAATATTGTGCCTGTCAGGAAATGTGGCTCATGCAAACTGTCAGCTGCAAACTGAGTTACCCTTTGTCTTTCAAACTCAGTTTCTGCCTTTCTTCCCTAAATTCACATATATACATTCTACACGTTTACATTTGTTTACTTGGGCCTTTCTTATGTGTACTAATGTGCAAAACATGTATCCTCTGCTCTAAGAAGCAGAAAAGGTGTGTGTGAATCCATGGTGTTGTATCCAAAGTTCCCAGGCCTCTGAAGAGGTTTTCCAATCACTGTTCACCTTAGAGTTTAAACAAATATGCAGGTAATTCAGCTGCTCACATGCTCTGGATAGCATCTATCACTTCCTGACAGAGTTTGCCATGAAGCTGTCCTTGGTGGCCAGGAGACCAAGTGTTCAGAGGATATGTGTAGCCCATGCAACAGTAAAAGTTTGTGTTAAGCTCTATTGCATCCTAAGGTTCCTATTGTCTGGGATCTACTTTGCTGGGGAATAGCTCTGTGGAATGGGACCTGGGGGTCCTGGTGGACAGCAAGCTCAATAAGGGTAAAGTGTGCTGCTACAGCAAAGAAAGACAGAAGGATGCTGGGTTACATCAACAAGGGCATCACTATTATCCCACTCTACTCCTTGCTTGCGAGGCCACACCTGGAATATTGTGTTCAGTTTTGGTCTCCGCTAAGCAAAAAAGATGTGCTCAGGCTGAAGAGGGTCCAGAGAAAGGCCACAATCAAAGGACTAGGAAGCAGTATGAGAAAAGGCTGAGAGAGCTGGGGTTGTTCACCCTTGGGAAAAGAAGGCTTGGGGGAGACCTTATTGCCATGTTCTGGTATTTAAAGGGTGGCTACAAAGAAGATAGAGACTCCCTTTTTACAAGGAGTCACAGAAAAGATGTGGGGTAATGGATAGAGGTTACTCCTAGGGAGATTCCAGCTGGATGCAAGAGGAAAATTTTTCACAGTAAGAATAATCAACCATTGGAATAATCTCTCCAGGGAAGTGGTGGATTCCCCAACACTGAACACTTCTAAGGTTCAGCTGGAGAGGGTGCTGGGCCATCTAGTACTGGTCATGCTTGCCTAGAAAGGTTGGACCAGATGATCCTTGAGGTCTGTTCCAATCTGGTATTCTGTGATACCTGGCTACTTGTTGCTTGCTTCCATGCCTGTCTTCTCTTTGTTTCTTACTTTCACATTCATCTGTTTCTGTGGATCGCTTAAGATGTCCTTTTCAGGAAATGATGAAATATTAAACCCCCAGTCTGTAGATTCCTGATTAGCAGATGGAGGGAAAGGGAATACCAGGGACAGAATCTCTCAGTATGGGTCAGTTTCTTATACTCTATTATAACCCTCCACAGCTGGCAGCTGCTGGATATAAGATGTTAGGACATTGGCCCAAGCTGCTGTATTGTTTATAAGGGAGAGCAAGCAGAGTCTGCATTCTAAATCCCCTTCTAAGGTTATTATATCTCATGCTTTAGATAAACATAAGCTGTGCTTTGTTCATACAAACAAGTGAACCACACCATGAGATACTGTGAAGCTCAGTGTGTATAGCACACCATAAAGATGGGAGAAAAGTGCCAAGTATTCTTTTATCTTCCTTTTCTTTCCCTGTCCCTTCTTTCTCTCCACTTAGGCATGCTACCAACACAAGTTACCCTAACTGGGACTATTGTCAGTTGGAACCAGAAAAATTCGAGATGAACAATCTGCTGACCCCAAAGGGTGAGGAGAGTTGTAAGAACAACGATGTAAGCAGTTCTCCCCACTCCTTGCTCATCTAAATAGGAGTTTTGTATCCAAACCAGGCGGTAATTTTTCTCCCCCAGGTGCCTTGAGCTATAGCTGTCTTACTCTGTACTGATTCTTTGTGCTCAAAAGGTATGCCTATGGGTGGCTTTTATCAAAGGCCAGAACTGGAAGTAACATGGGCTTTAGATGATGTGGTGTCTGCAGCCGCATGAGAATGGGCTGTATGGCCCAGAAAGTCCTCTCCAATCTTGGTCATCTGCTGCATGCTCATACACAGATGAGGTAGCTTGTCAGGCTTTCGTGGAATGCAGGTGACTGTTCACCATATCCTGAACTAGCCTGCGGTAAAAGTTACTCAGGGACACCAGGATATTTATAACCCACTCCTATGAGACGTGCAAAGGCCAGGTGTAGTACTCTGTATTTACAGCAGTTTTGGTTTTTTGGATTCCTTTTGGTTTGGGTTCCTGACTTAATTCTGTGTATTTCCCTGGATTAGCAAGGAAGGGAAATGTGAGACATACTAAGGCCAGGTGGAAGATGGTCTTGATAGCACAACACTTGTCATATATAAATAGCTGGATAGTGTCAGTGTGTTCAGCAGCAATAAAGCAGTACCTTCATTGATTCACAAGGGAAAGAAAGCCCTGAAAATTAAAAAAAAATGGGTTTCATTGAAAGCCCAAGTAAAATGAGCCCTATGGAAGGTGCTCTTTCTGCATAAACTTGGTTCAAAGTCTTGGATTCTAAACTTGGAAGCTGTGTTTTTCATTCTGCCTCCCTTCCCCAGATTCCTTTGAGATGACAAGCAGTCCAAAGAAGACTGGTAAGCACTCTGTACAAGAATGTAGGATAAAACTATGTTCACTAGCATGTGTGGCCAGTTAGTGGATGTGTGACAGAACCTAAGGCTTTCATTAAAAGTATCCATTGCTGACCTCTCCATCATGTTCTTGGTACTGACGTGTTTGTCGGTTTGCATTTGGTTCTTTTGATCAGTTTGTCAGATGATATGAAAAGGAGATGTTCCTTAACCATTCAGAGAGAAAATCCTCAGCAGTCTTCATATTTTCTAAGTTTGGTCTTACACGAGCACCTTTTACACTTCCCTTTCTGTTTAGAGATGCTCGCTCATTGCAGGTCATTGTTCCACAGGCAGCACTCACTATCTATACTGTACTCTCCAGACAAGACACACCACGTATTTCATTTAGAAAAGAAGCAGCAAAGAATGTGTCACAGGGAGAATGATACTTAACTTTGACTTATCCACCAAGTGCTTAAATATTGGGAAGAATCTAGTATTTTTAATGTTACCGGGAAGGAAGGCGTGTCATATTTAGAAACTGGTTCCCAGCTCACACATCTATGTAATCCAATTCGTTTTGGAAGTAAAAGCAGATGAAAATCTGAGTCTCTGAAGATTTAAATCTTGCCAGTCTGAAAGAAAGCTAAATTGTTTTCACGGGTCAGCAGACAGGCTGTTCTCACAATCCACTCATTCATTTACTGCTGAAGTAATGTGCTGCTTCAGTTCCAAGATTAAACAACTGGTAGTGATAACTTGTTGTCAGAGATCATGTCAGTATGTTGAGCCTTGTGTAGAACACGGGAAAGCTTGTAATCGAAATTGAGAAGGGTGAGCAGTGTCCAACAGGCTGCAAATAATGATAATCAAGCCAGTAAAAAATGGGGATTGTGGTTTCCAAAACAAATGTCCTAATTTTGTATTCAGTCACTGAGACAAATACTGACACTTTCCAAAATGCTCCAGAATAAGCATTTATTTTGCAGTAGTTGGGAACTGCAGGTGCCTGGCACTTAAGCATTTGCTGTTTTAATTATGAGTCTCTGCTTTAATTCCTGTTTGAAATCCTGGGACATGAATGACCTGGATGATGGATGTAGGCGAGAGCATTACTACTGTACTTGGATGCAAAGTAGCAAATTACTTTGAAATGTCTAATAGAAATTGTTTTTTCTCTATATGTTTTTCATTAGTAGTTTAAGAGAAAGGAAAAGATGGTTATTTGTCACGCAAAGAAGGGAAAAGTTCTTAGCACAGACAGCAAAGAAAGTAAGAAAAAAAAAAGATATTTGGGCGAAGTAGCATGGAAAAAAGTACAAATGTTGGAAGGAATGGTAATGGTAAATGTACACAGAGGCTGTATTGAATTGGAGGTTGGCAACGGTGAAACTGATGGAGAAACCAGTGAGAACATTCAAAGTCAGCACTGATAGAGTCAGTCATAGCAGCCTTCCAGTATCTGAAGGGTACCTACAAGGATGCTGGGGAGGGACTCTTCATTAGGGACTGTAGTGACAGGACAAGGGGTAATGGGTTAAAACTTAAACAGGGGAAGTTTAGATTGGATATAAGGAAGAAGTTCTTTACTGTAAGGGTGGTGAGGCACTGGAACAGGCTGCCCAAGGAAGTGGTAAATGCTCCATCCCTGGCAGTGTTCAAGGCCAGGTTGGACAGAGCCTTGAGTGACATGGTTCAGTGTGAGGTGTCCCTCTGGGGGAAGGGGGTTGGAACTGGATGGTCTTAAGGTCCTTTCCAACCCTAACTGTTCTATGATTTTATGATTCTGTGATTTCCCTGCAAATGCTTTGGGAGTAAATTGAATCATATTTCTCTTAAATTGAAGAGCAATGTCTGTATCATTACGCACTTTGTGATTTTTCTTGTATCACACATTGAAGAGGGGAAAAGAAATTGGTGATCAGTCATAAGGTCTGCCCATTCCACTAAACCTTAGAGCCTGGAAGAGAAGCTAGCAGGAGAGCAAGTTATTCTCCTTACATCTGAAATTAGGTATATCAAGCATTTTATTTTTTGTATTTACTCACACTGCAGAGGACTTCTCTCAGCATAACACACAATTTACTCAGCTTGCCTCTTGCTGATTTCTACATATTTTTGTAGTGAAAGTTTGTGCTGTAACATGTCTGTCAACAAGTGGAAGCAACAACTTCTGTTTCTCTTGACTGAGCTAAATAGAGTTTGGTGTATTTTTTTCTTTTAATGCTATTAGAGCAATCCTGCCAGGCTCCAGATCACTTTTATTCTTTGGAATTCCTCTCCCTGCTGGCTTGTATTGGTATGGTATTTAAATACCATCGAAGTGATACTGCCATGCTGCCAGCCTATCAATTTCTCTCACCACAGCCAGTGTCCTGCCATTACAGTGTTAGAAAAATCCCCCTTACCAGTGCTGCTTTGTCACTGTGGATCAGCAAGGGGGAAACGTATTTCACTGAGTTGAAACTGCACATTGAAACACACAAGTATGTTGTGCTTTATTAATTTTGTTAAAGCAATTTATCAAGTCAATAAATCTTTAGGGAAGAAATCTTCCAGACTTGCTTCTGTTGGAGACAGCTGACTTGGCTGGGCAGTTTATGGAACAGTTCCCTCAGTTACTTTTTGCTAGATAAGGGCATTACCCTGGAGTCACAGCTATTTTGCAAGCCTATAATTGCCTTCTATGACCCCAAAATTTCTGCTGCCATTTCTGTAGGAAAGGATGTTTTTTTTTCCTTTTCCCACGACTGCAATGTGGTGCTGCTGGCACTAGTGGCTGCTGCTGTATTTTGCCCTAGAAAGAGTTATGTCTCATTTGTGGATGGGCTAGACTCTTGAAAAAGAAAACATGAGAATTAAGGCTTTAATCCTACCAACACTGTACATTGCTTAAAGTTTTTCTGCCTTTCATTTTTCTTGAAGGAACTGAGACATGGACAAGCTTGTAGCAAGTACCGACCTCATCAAAAAAGTAAAGTCTTCCAAGTCCAAACAGGTAAAATATACAACAGTGATTTTTCCAGGTACAGAATGGGGAAGAAAAGGTAAAATATTATTTTACTAAGACATCACAGGCTTGTCATTCTGAAGGCCTTTGCTATGATATAATATGTGCACCCCATTGTCATGGTTTAAACCCAGACAGGAACTAAGTCCCATGCAGCCGCTCACTCATTCTCCCTCCAGGGCAGGATGGGGAGGAGAAGTGGAAGAAGGTAAAACCTGTGGGTTGAGATAAGAACAGTTTAGTAATTGAAATAAAGTAAAATAGAATTATAATAAAAATAATGCCAACAATAGCAA